ATTTTTTGGGCTTAAAGGGCCTTTAATAAAACAGAGCAACAACCATTAAAGGGTCTTTAAGTGGAGCTTCACACTATAACTTGTAATTATTGTACTAAACTACAGCACTCTAAGAGTTTAATGAACATCAGATTTGCAATTATTGCCTGGATTAGGTCACCCTAGATCAATACAATAAACAGTATCAATTATCAAAGTGTCACCAATAGCAACCCTGTGTGTCTTTATAAATATAGCACTTAAATCCTTTATTATAAAAGTTATTGGCTCACAAGAAATGCCTTATCATTTACAATCAACTTACAAGTTTTTCTATGTGGAAATATTTTGATGAAAATATGTGGTGATAACATAGTTTCACAAATATCTGCAAGCATACTGGGAAAAGGTCAAGAGTTACATTAGAAGAATATGTACCATTGGAATCAGCAAATATTTGCTTTGAATATGGAATATGTTTATTATTCAAATATTAAAAGTTCTTACTAAAAATTAGAAATTACCTTTAATTCATGGGAATGGGCATTTAGGCTGTGACCAAATGTCATGTAATCACCCACCCTGAATTAACATATCCATTAGAGGTCTTGTACAATTGGATTGTCCGTAACCCACCTTCAGGCAAATGTGATAAACACCGAGCATGTCAAAGAACCAGGAAACATTTAATGGAACAGAACACTCCCTTTTTAAAAAAACAAAGGGGGAAACCCTAATTTTTAAACAAAAAAAAACATCTTTTCAAAAAAACCGGGGGACTTTTTGGAAACAGATTTAACTGCTTTTAAAAAGGGGACCTAGGAACTTTTGGGAAAAACAAAATAATTTGTTTGTCAAAAAAAGGGGAAAATTTTTTGGAACAAAATCATTTGCTTTTCTAAGAACCGGGAAAAACTTTTTGGAACAGAAAAACTGTTTGCAAAAAAATGGGAATTTTTTGGGGAGTGGGGAAAAAAAAGGGCTGTAAAAGAAACCGGGGGAATTTTTTGGAACAACATTTTTGCTGTCAAAAAACCCGGAAACTTTTTGGAAAAACAAAATTTTGCTGAAAAAAGAATTTGGGAAAAATTTTGGGAAAAGTAGAAAAAAACGGGCCTTTTCAAAAACCGGGAAAACCCTTTTGGGAACAAAAAATTAATTTCCCTTGAAAAGAACTAGGGAAATTTGGATTTAAAAATAAATGCCTTTTTAAAAAAAACCGGGGGGAAAAACTTTTGAAAACAAAATCACTGTTCCCAAAAACCAAGGGGAAAAAATTTTGGAAAAAGGAGTAATTTGGCGTAAAAAAACCCGCGGAAAAAATTTGGCAAAAATCATTTGGCTGTCAAAGAACCGGGGAAACTTTTGGAAAAATAACTGTTGACAAAAAAAACTGGGGAAAAATTTTTGGAGTAGAAAAAATTTCCCTTTTTAAAAGAACCAGGGAATTTTTGGAAACGAAATAAATTGCGGTCTTAAAAAAGGGGGAAAAATTTTTTGGGAAAAGGGGAAAACTGCTGAAAAAAGGGAATGGGGGAATATTTGGAGTAGAATAAATGCTGTAAAAGAACCAGGGAATATTTGGAACAGACATATTGCTGTCAAAGAACCCGGAAACATTTGGAACAGAATAACTGCTGACAAAGAACTAGGAAACATTTGGAGTAGAATAACTGCTGTCAAAGAACCAGGAAACATTTGGAACAGAATAACTGCTGACAAAGAACTAGGGAACATTTGGAGTAGAATAAATGCTGTAAAAGAACCAGGGAACATTTGCAACAGAATCACTGCTTCCCAAAAACCAGGGAAAATTTGGAAAGAGTAACTGCTGTAAAAGAACCAGGGAAAATTTGGCACAAAATCACTGCTGTCAAAGAACCAGGGAACATTTGGAACAGAATAACTGCTGACAAAGAACTAGGGAACATTTGGAGTAGAATAAATGCTGTAAAAGAACCAGGAAACATTTGGAACAGAATAAATGCTGTCTAAGAACCAGGAAACATTTGTCACAGAATAACTGCTGTTAAAGAATCAGGGAACATTTGGAACAGATTAACTGCTGTCAAAGAACCAGGAAACATTTGGAACAGAGTACCTGCTGTCAAAGAACCAGGAAACATTTGGAACAGAGTAACTGCTGTCAAAGAACCAGGAAACATTTGGAACAGAATAACTGCTGACAAAGAACTAGGGAATATTTGGAGTAGAATAAATGCTGTAAAAGACCCAGGGAATATTTAGAACAGACTAAATGCTGTCAAAGAACCAGGGAACATTTGGAACAGAGTACCTGCTGTCAAAGAACAAGGAAACATTTGGAACAGAATAACTGCTGACAAAGAACTAAGGAACATTTGGAGTAGAATAAATGCTGTAAAAGAACCAGGGAACATTTGGAACAGAATCACTGCTTCCAAAGAACCAGGGAACATTTGGAACAGAATAACTGCTGTCAAAGAACCAGGAAACATTTGGAACAGAATAACTGCTGACAAAGAACTAGGGAATATTTGGAGTAGAATAAATGTTGTGAAAGAACCAGGGAATATTTGGAACAGACTAAAAGCTGTCTAAGAACCAGGAAACATTTGTTACAGAATAACTGCTGACAAATAACCAGGGAACATTTGGAACAGAATAACTACTGTTAAAGAATCAGGGAACATTTTGAGTAGAATAACTGCTGACAATGAACCAGGGAACATTTGGAACAGAATAAATGCTGTCAAAGAACCAGGGAACATTTGTAACAGAATAACTTCTGTTAAAGAACCAGGGAACATTTGGAACAGAATAACTGCTGTCAAAAATAACTGACCTGATCATAATCAAGATCATGTTGACAGGCCAAGATCCTGTTGACAGGCCAAGATCATGTTGACAGGCCAAGATCATGTTGACAGGCCAAGATCATGTTGACAGGGGTTCATTATTCAGTCATAACTGTAATTTTTCCAAAAAAAAAACTGATCAATGGTTTTGTCAAAATAAAAAGATGGACAAATCCATTTATTCAATAAGAGTTTGTCACCATGATATGGGATAATATAAACTGAAGTTCCATTTAAAGTGCTACAAGTTCATTGTACATATTTTAGTGGTAAATGTAAAATTATTCCTAAAACAAAATAGTATTTTGACTTCCATAAATTAAATACTAAGTCACTACAACTGTACTTACTGCCAAAAAAGCAACAGAAGCAAAAGATGGTTAAAGATTAATTTGGTCAATGATTAACTTTTCTGAAACTTTAACAGGACACAAAAAAATCAATATCTGTCAAGAAATTTAAATGAAAACCATTTCTGGAGCATAAATGAGCCTATAAATTAATACCATTCAGGTTGATTTTAACAGCAAATGTTTACTCATACACTTTTATGAACTTTCTATACTCCAATGCTATCATATAATGCAAGGCTTTTATCTTTCACTACTATGATGCAATAATGACTGCCTCGTTAGATTCTTGTTTTATCACCATGACTGTAATCATTTTATTATCAAAACATAGTGGGCACTTGTTACAATGAAAAATACTTTTTATTTTTTACAAATACCAATAAATTTTACTTTTATTGTACATTTAGCATTACAAAAGAATAATAGAAAACTAATATGAAAGAGAGCATTAAAATTGAACAGTTTTGCCATTTTAGGTTTTGGCATTTTTGGGATAGAAGTGCTTTTGACCAAGACAGTTTTATCTCAGTTTTGCCATTTTGGGGATAGAAGTGCTTTTGATCAAGAGGGTTTTGTCTCAGTTTTGCCATTTTGGGGATAGAAGTGCTTTTGACCAAGAAGGTTTTATCTCAGTTTTGCCATTTTTTGGGATAAAAGTGCTTTCGATTAAGAGGGTTTTGTGTCAGTTTTACTATTTTTGGGATAGAAGTGCTTTTGATCAACAGAGCTTTGTCTCAGTTTTGCCAGGTTTGGAGAGAAATGCTTTTGACCAAGAAGGTTTTATCTCAGTTTTGCCATTCTTTAGGATTTAGCATTTTTGGGATAGAAGTGCTTTTGACCAAGAGGGTTTTGTCTCAGCTTTGCCATTTTTGAATAGAAGTGCTTTTTGCCAAGAGGGGTTTGTCTCAGTTTTGCCATTTTTGGATAGAAGTGCTTTCGACCAAGAGGGTTTTGTCTCAGTTTTGCCATTTTTGGGATAGAAGTGCTTTTGACCAAGAGGGTTTAGTCTCAGCTTTGAAATTTTTGAATAGAAGTGCTTTTTGCCAAGAGGGTTTTGTCTCATGAAATGCAGTGTTGTCATGTTTGGAAAGAAATCCTTTTGACCAAGAGGGTTTTGTCTCAGTTTTGCCATATTTGGATTAAAGTGTTTTTGTCCAATAGTGTTTTGTCTCAGTTTTGCCATTTTTGGGATAGAAGTGCTTTTTGCCATCTCAGTTTTGCCATTTTTGGATAGAAGTGCTTTCGACCAAGAGGGTTTTGTCTCAGTTTTGCCATTTTTGGGATAGAAGTGCTTTTGACCAAGAGGGTTTTGTCTCAGTTTTGCCATTTTTGGGATAGAAGTGCTTTTGACCAAGAGGGTTTTGTCTCAGCTTTGCCATTTTTGGGATAGAAGTGCTTTTGACCAAGAGGGTTTTGTCTCAGCTTTGCCATTTTTGGGATAGAAGTGCTTTTGACCAAGAGGGTTTTGTCTCAGTTTTGCCATTTTTGGGATAGAAGTGCTTTTGACCAAGAGGGTTTTGTCTCAGCTTTGCCTTTTTTGGATAGAAGTGCTTTTTGCCAAGAGGGTTTTGTCTCAATTTTGCCATTTTTGGGATAGAAGTGCTTTTGACCAAGAGGGTTTTGTCTCAGCTTTGCCATTTTTGTATAGAAGTGCTTTTGACCAAGAGGGTTTTATCTCAGCTTTGCCTTTTTTGGACAGAAGTGCTTTTGATCAAAAGGGTTTTGTCCGTTTTGCCATTTTTGGATTAAAGTGTTTTTGACCAAGAGTGTCTTTTGTCTGGGATACCTCAACTTTCTCCTAAAAAATGTATATAAATATTTAAATGTTTACCTAACATTCTCATGTCTCTGTATATAGATCTTGTGAAACATGGTGTCTTTAGGTTTGCCTGCTATGTCTGCTTTCATCTCCATGGCGATATGCCTCGGTAACACAGACAACAATAATCTCTCCTGAAATAGTTACCAGTGACAATCATAGCATATTATAGTTAAGATGTGAAACTTTCATATCTAGAAATGTGTTTTAATTAATACATTTTTGTTGAGTATAATAATATATGATTATAATTCACACTGAGAATTTAAAATTGTCATAATACTGTCATCTTTAACCTTGGATGTTGCAAACTTAACAGCAACACCAGGGGTCAAAACCACCCCACCTGCTGGAGCTAAGAGAGCATAGACTCCATTTATTCAAACCCATATAGTCACCTTTTATGATCACACAGGGATAAATGATGGCTGCAATTCTTATGCCTCAACCATAAAAGGCAACCCCTCTGAGCCACAAGGGGTCATTTTTATAGTAATATAATACCAAAAAGCATTACTGAATAATTATATACTAACTTAATTGTGATTCAAGGAGACAAAGCTTTAACTAAATAAACTAAATTTGTCATTTTAAACAGTTGACAATCAACAGTACTAATGAGTCAATTTAAACATTATCAAAATGACAGCAGATATTTAACTTAAACATTCTGTTTGTGTAGAGGCTTAGCTTTTGGATAGCAGTACCCACATGTACAATTCTTGTGACATCCTATATTAGAAAAAGAGTTACCCACCTGTTCCTGATTTTCTCTTTGAGTTGTTAAACGTGCCTCAATACAGCGTCTTGTCTCAAGAAATGCCTTCCTCTGAGCAACCTCAGTTGGGTAATGTGTAAATATTCCTGCTATGTTGGCACATATAAATACAGGATGTTACTAACGAACTGAAATGTAAATGACATTTATGGTTTATTTGTAACCCCAAAACCACTGCTTCAGAACAGACTGGGTGTCCATTGTTAAAATGGCTGACTTAAAAACACCTGCTTCTTACAACTGTAGGTTCTAATCCAGCAAGGGACTTTGATTCTTACAGAATAATAAAAAAATCTATTTCAGCTAGCATACAGAAGAGCAGTTTTAAAGAAGTGTTACAAGTTTTACAGAATAGCAGTTTTATAGAAGAGCAGTATTCCAGAAGAGCAGTTATAAAGATGAGCAGTTTTAAAGAGCAGTTTTCCAGAAGAGTTGTTATAGAGTAGAACAGTTTTAAAGAAGAGCAGTTTTCCTCAAGAACAGTATTGCAGACCAGTTTTACAGGAGAACTGGTTAAAGGCGTCCAAAGGAAAACAGGAAGTTTTATCTAAAAAAAACAAAAAAACAAAAAATGAAGTTCCATAGCTAAGATCCCCAGAGTACTGTATGTGTATTTAAATTCGGGAAGCAAATTTTCGCGGAAAGGTCCACTTTGGGGGTCTATACAAATATTCGCGCTATTTTGAATTCGCGAAGACCACGAAAATTTGAAGCCCGCGAATATTTCTACACATACAGTAACTCTCCAGTCCATTTCCTGAAACTTATCAAAGCTAGTGCCAAATGACTTAACAAGAGGGCCAGGATGGCCCTGAGGTCGCTCACCTGTATATAGGCCCCCGGAGCGGGGCCAGTTTAAACCTCAGGGCTTTTATTTGAGCAAACTTGGAAGACACCCATTAGAAGATGTTTCATGATGTTAAGTTTTTACTACACACATATAATGAAAAACAATGACCTCCCCCCCCCCTTGGCAGGGCCCAATTTAAACCCAAGGGCTTTTATTTGGACAAACTTGGTAGACACCAACAAAAAGATGTTTCCTGCTTAAAATTCTAATCTCTAGCTCATTGGGTTTTTTAAAAGAAGATTTTTTAAGTTTTTACTATACACATATAGTTAAAAACAATGACACCTCTGGGGCTTGGGCAGTTTTAACCCCAGGGCTTTTATTTGAACAAACTTTGTAGACACTTACTAGAAGCTGTTTCATTCTTAATATCTAAACTCTAGCTATTTCGTTTTTTTCAAAGAAGATTTTTTAAGTTTTTTGCATACACATATAAGGAAATCAATGACCCCTGGGCGGGCCAATTTTGACCCAGGACTTTTATTTGAACAAACTTTGTAGACACCCATTAGAACATGTTTCATGCTAAATATCTTAGCTCTAGCTCTTTGGGTTCTTTAAAAGAAGATTTTTTAAGTTTTTACTATATGCATAAAGGGAAAATCAATGACCCCCTGGGGCGGGGCCAATTTTGACCCAAGGGCTTTTATTTGAACAAACTTGGTAGACACTCACTAGAAGATGTTTCATGCTTAATATCTAAACTCTAGCTATTTGGGTTTTTTCAAAGAAGATTTTTTAATTTTTTGCTATACACATATAAGGAAAATCAATGACCCCCTGGGGGCGGGGCCAATTTTGACCCCAGGGCTTTTATTTGAACAAACTTGGTAGACACTCATTAGAAGATGTTTCATGCTAAATATCTTAGCTCTAGCTCTATGGGTTCTTTAAAAGAAGACTTTTTAAGTTTTTACTATATGCATATAGGGAAAATCAATGACCCCCTGGGGCGGGGCCAATTTTGACCCCAGGGCTTTTATTTGAACAAACTTGGTAGACACTCACTAGAAGATGTTTCATGCCAAAAATCTTAGCTCTAGCTCTTTGGGTTCTTTAAAAGAAGATTTTTTAAGTTTTTACTATATGCATATAGGAAAAATCAATGACCCCCTGGGGCGGGGCCAATTTTGACCCCAGGGCTTTTATTTGAACAAACTTGGTAGACACCCATTAGAAGATGTTTCATGCTAAATATCTTAGCTCTAGCTCTATGGGTTCTTTAAAAGAAGACTTTTTAAGTTTTTACTATATGCATAAAGGGAAAATCAATGACCCCCTGGGGCGGGGCCAATTTTGACCCCAGGGCTTTTATTTGAACAAACTTGGTAGACACTCACTAGAAGATGTTTCATGCCAAATATCTTAGCTCTAGCTCTTTGGGTTCTTTTAAAGAAGATTTTTTAAGTTTTTACTATATGCATATAGGGAAAATCAATGACCCCCGGGGCGGGGCCAATTTTGACCCCAGGGCTTTTATTTGAACAAACTTGGTAGACACCCATTAGAAGATGTTTCATGCTAAATATCTTAGCTCTAGCTCTATGGGTTCTTTAAAAGAAGATTTTTTAAGTTTTTACTATATGCATATAGGGAAAATCAATGACCCCCTGGGGCGGGGCCAATTTTGACCCCAGGGCTTTTATTTGAACAAACTTGGTAGACACTCACTAGAAGATGTTTCATGCCAAATATTTAAGCTCTAGCTCTTTGGGTTTTTTAAAAGAAGATATTTAAAGTTTTTTCTTTTGGTTGCCATGGCAACTAAAAAAACATGGTTGTGACCTCTGAGTAGGGCTAAAATTGAACCAATTTTCCCTCTATTCCTATTCTGAGAGGCAGATATCTTTAAATTAACCATTTAAGCACACGTAGCTTTCTTAAAGTTTTGGATGCTGCTAAAAGGCCCATTATGCCTCAAAAATGCTAAAAAAAAAATTTCTTGTTAACAGTTTCAAAAAAAAAGCACACACTCATTTGCAACATATATCCACTATCTTTGCTTATTTTGCCTTAATGTTGGCAACTTGCATATAATTATAGTGAATTATTATCATAAATTAGGATTTCATATTGTAGTCAAAATAAAACTTTGTTTGCATTTTAATCGCTACCTTTATGACATAACTGCATGTTCAGCGCTACTTTCTTCACTTGTTTAACATCTAACATGCTCTTAATCCATTATTATCACATTATTAAACAGAAGTGATGTTTAACATTTTTAAGGAATTTAATAAGTTTGAATTTCTGAAGCATAATGTGCCTTTAAAATGGAAGATTATTTTAAGGTGAATCGAAAAAATAATTACCTGTTTCCATACAGAATTGTCATCATAATTCCTTATAACAGTTATAATGAGATGTAGAAGAGTTATACAATTGGCACTAAAAACAGCTATACGCATACGAACTGGTAATAGCGTGTACGTCATATACACAAACAGAATTGCACACCATACGCTGTCGGACGCAGAACGCGGATCCGTATCCACGGTAATGATACAAATAAATCCACACAGTATAACAATAATAGCATAACAGACCAGCTGAGCTTGTTTTTGATCAAATGAACTTCTATTACAAAGAATTTCTAGAAAGACAAATATCACAATTATGAGTCCGAGGCAAACGCCGCGCATAGGTAGCACCCCTCCACTGACGTAGTAAAAAATTACCATGAGAATAGAAATCACACAAAAAACTGCCATCAGAATTGAGAGATTGTACTGGTTTAACTTGAAAAAATATCTTTGATAAAGGCTCTCTAATTTTGGATTTTTGAACTGTTTCGTCTTAAACACCTGTTTATATGATCTTTGATTAAACCATGTTTCATTTCGCAGGACATCGATGTCTTCGATTTTTACCTCTTTCCGGCGCGATTTTTTACATCGATCTTCCGCCTCAAAAGCATCTTGAGCACGTTCCCAAGCTGATTTTCTCGTAGCAGATGTTGGAGACTGTACCGGCAATGGTGAAACTTTTCCGGTAGATTTAAGGTTGAAATAATCCCTACCTGATTGTTTTCTATGGGTTTCTGATTTTCTATTATGATTACTTGTAGCACCCATGTAGCTCACTTTAATTCCTGAATCAGATCCACTTTCACCTCCGAAATCCTCGACACGAGTCAATTGTACCTGACCATTGCTAGTGTTAGTCCTCGCGTTAAACATTTCCATGTTAGGTGTAGCCATTTTTATATCAACATGAGGTTTAGCCATTTTTATATCAACATCGCCTTCCATGCTATATTGCTCACAAACACGATTTTCCTCAACAGCATCAAAGTGGCCTGTGGTCTAACATGATTAGCTGGAGAAGAAAAAAAAACACCAATAATATTTTTCAATAACAATGATTAGCAGAGAATTTAGCTAGGTGTGATTGCCTGCCTTCATAAGGAATTGATCTAAAACAATATTATTATCAGCTTTTATAATTAAAGCCAACAAAGTCATGAAGCTTAATTATTGTACATCTAAAAATAAAAGCAATTTTCAGTAGTACCGGTATTTAAAGTGTTTACTGACCATGCTTTATTGTATAATAGCGATGCATTAATAACAACAAAATTTCTAAATATTAAAGGACTTTATTATGAAAAAAAAATTTCAATTTATGTGAAAAAAGCAACAACAAAAAAAGGGAAAAAAAACTTTTTATGAAAGTTAATTACTTTAAGTAAATGAATCAAAATGAAGTCTTGTATTTTTTTCTTAACTTTACACAAATATGTCACCTGAATTTTTTTTTTTATAATTCTAGTTGCTTTTAAATTGTCAGTCAGTTCGATTTAATTAAATATTTTCAAGACTCGTCTTAAAAAGTTTTATATAACATCAGGGTTATTTTCTGACCCATTTTGATGACCGATATTGGGTCATTTTCCCTGAATGCCAGAAAGCATGGTTTTTTACCCCAATTTCAAGGAGAAAATTCCCAATTCAAGGAACAAAAAATAAAATAAATGAAATGATTGCCATTTTGTTACATTTAACTGCACTGTCACATACATGACTTGCATTCTTAATTGTAATAAATGCTTATGAGTGAAATATTAAATGGGTTTAATTAACCATATATTTGATTTTTTTCTCTTATTTGATGTATACAATGTTTTGTCATTTTTCACAATTTGTCTAAAATACCGTAAAATTTCCCGATTCTGGGGATCATCATGTTCCCAAATTGCTGAGGAAAAAACCCTGAACATCTTTAATTCCTATAAATGCACTAGACATTATTGTAACTCTGGCCCAAATATCCTCAAGGAAATGTTGTGGGGTTGGAAATGAACCATTAGATTTCTCTATCTCCTGTTTAAATTTTCCTTGACTCAGCAAAAAATAACCCCTTTGGGCTATTATAAGCTTTTCAAAATCTTTGCTGATACGACTTAATGAGAAAATTTTTCTTAATCTTATAATTGTCTGTTATTGAAATCTACAAATGTAACTTGAAATATATTAACTGTCACTATAATATGCTTTTTTGTGTAGAATGGTAACCATGGTGACAGCTGCTTTTAAGAAATTATTATTGATGTTCAACCATTAATTTCTATAATGAGGCTGAATTATTTTCCCTGTAGATTTGTATCACAGGGTAGGACAGTACCTTGGTAACCAGAAGATCTCTTTATCGAGGTATCAGATAATAGGAATTGATAAATAGCTGTATATATTATGATATATCTTTAGAACATTGAACTACAGGTGACACAGGTATATAAGTACTTATAGACAGATCAGATAATAAAATAATGACAATAAAATTGAATTTTATGTATATGTTAGTGTTTGAAATTATTTTTTGTCCAATAGGATTGCAGTGTATTTCAAATGAATCGTAACATATTTATGTTGGTAAATCAGCAAACTGTTAATCAGTCTAATATTATAAAATTGACTGTTTATAAAAATAATTTAAAACACTAAGTTGGTTAAAATTTATAAGTACGTATTTACAAAATTAAATTGGTTGGGCGGCTTTGCCAATTTTTTTTTGTAAATATTTAATTACTTGTACTTATAGCGTTCATCAGTATCTGTTCTACAGAAATTAGAAACTTCGACGGGAGTGATAGCGACAGGAAAATGTTTCTAATTTCTCTAGAACAGATACGAATGAATGCTAACATATACTTTAAGTCACAGTCAAGCTTTATTTGGCTTCATACTTTTCATTTTATTACATCACAACTATTTTATTAACACAGTTCTATGACATACTATGAAAAATAAAAGGCAAGTATGAATTGAATTTGACATAGTACTGACTTTTGTTCTTCTATAAAAATTAACAAACAGATTTTTTAAGAAATACAGTGTTTTCATTAGATGACAAATAAAGCTGGACACTATAATTATATTAATTTTAATTAAAGTATCTTAAGATTTTTATAATGGTAATAAAATTGTTCTGAATCAAAATAAAAATAAATAATTATTAATTTTAAAGGCCCTAAATATGCCCTAGAATTGGTTTTATTTTTATTTATCAAAAGATTTTTATTTTTTAACAAATTTTTACAAAAATATTATAATTATATAAATATCATTTAAAAACAATATACATATTTCTTGAACATTAGTCAATATCCAAACATCCAGTATCATTATAAGTTAAACAATTTGCATCTCTCAAACAGATTTATTAATTGGCTTTTTTTGCAAATTATTCATTATATCAGTTACGGACTATTCTTGTAAAACTAATCAATATGCATGTATAGTCTAAGTACCTCCTCTTTTGCTTCTTAAAATTAAATTTCCAAACATCTCCTGTTGCCTTTAAAAATGTTAAACCAAAAAAAAAAATATGTTGAAACCTTACCTCCAATCTTCAAATATTGATTTTCAAATTGTTTTCATCACAAATGCGTTTAAAATTTACAACTCTTAATATCAATTAAGTTTCTATTTTAAAATAAAGTCTCATGATTTTACCATAAATAATAACAACAATGCAATGTTAAATTTGTTTAATTTATATAAATATCTTAAAACTTTCACACCATCTACTACTTATAACAAAAGAGACTGTATTTCAAACAGGCACACTTTTTCACTTTTCCACCTGGCCTTGCCATCTGCTTCCAGCATGATTTTTCACACATTTGATGACTTTGTTATTGATGTTGTAAACAAAATTGTATACAAAAATAAATGTCACTATTATGTAAATAATATTATATATATATATATATACTAATACAGTGTACATGATGATGAATACAAAGGAAAAGAGGAATTAACACATGTGTCAGTCAAAATCTAGTAAAATATGTTAAGATTTAATGTTTAACTGTGATTTATCAATTAATTTAACAACTCTACTAATTTTGAACAACATACATACATGTCAAGGGCTTACCTCGGCTTAATCTGAGTGCACGCCGAGTGCCGGTTTTTGGCCGAAGGATCACCAGAGACTTATATATCAAATATAGTTATGTGTTATAACTAAGGATTTAGGGGATATTTAAGCTAAATGTTACGACTACTATTGTCTTTATCTATACTTATGAAAATAACATCAAGTACATATTTTGAATGTAAGAGAAATAGCACGAAGTCTAACGTGTACACTGTTTTAAAAGTTCAAAAGTTATTGGCTTTTAGAAAAACAAAACATAATAGTCAGGTGTCTCTCGTGTAAAAAAGATGGGTTTTATTTCCTTTTGTAACAAGACTAGTTTAGTTTTTTTCTTGTTATTTTCTTTTGTTTCACCATAACTTAACGTGAGATATAATCAAGGAAAATATGCTTTAAAATGATCTGTATGACTTTAATACAAACAGACAACAGCTTAAATGTTTAGTGTAACGAAAAGTTATCGTATTCATAACTAAAAAACATATAGTTATTCGCATGATCATTTAGCTTTCTTAAAATATTTTGTAATGAGTATTATGTCAATGTTGTAGACAATAAATATTGTCTTAACATTTTTGTTCTCAACTCTAGTCTTTCAATTTCCTTTCGAAATATTTAAGTTATTTCATTACGAAGTTAAATGCTTCACGCACATAAAGCATATTGGTATAAACAGACTCGCCAATTTGTTATCTAAAGTCGGCGAAAATAAAAGAATTTAGACATGACGTGTCTCATATGGACGTTGTATATTTGTCTATGTTTTAAATATGTATAGATGAGACTACATATAATAAAGAATATATATCATTGTTTTCAGAAGTGTGCAATTTTTTACTCAATAAAATAATACAGTAGAAAAAAATTTCTGTAGTGATATATTTTGTAAATACTTCTTTTTTACAGTCAAAGAAACAAAAGTTGAATTTGGTTTGTGACGATGGATGTTGGCAATAGTTCACTTTAAAGATCTGATTCACAGTGTCAAAACTATTCTACATAATTTGAAATGAATATAAGTTGAATGAATATTACTAACTTAAAAATAATATACTGATTTATAGTTAAAAGGTAAAATATAAATGACATATTCCATACAGCTAACTCGATCACTCCCTTCCATTGTGCTTCAAACGCCAAGTTGCAAACAAGATCTTTATTTTGCATATAGATCTAGATGTAAAAACAAAATAAATGTTTACTTTTCACTGATTTGATTCTTCTGAAAAAAATGATTATAATATATTGGACAATTTCTTATCCTTATTTGCATTTTGAAGAGGTTTATTAGCATATTATAACGCTTAACTGACAAGCTGAAAAAAGAGAAAATTCCAAAGAAATTGTTAATATCATATTTTTACCCCCTTTCTTCATAATTGAAGTTTTGATTGTGCATAAAAAGGTAACACATATTCGAATATTAGGTAACATCCTAAGCATACCTGTAGAATCAATTAGCAGCTATGAATATGTTTATCGATCTACACCCAAATTAATGATTTCATTTTTGAAATTTTATTTTTTTCAAAACTTTTTCTTTTTATACGCCCATGCGTATTGGCGTATCGGTAGGTACGCCACTGCATGTATACAAGCTTAAGTTCTTCATCAGTTACATTACAAAGAAATTAATTCCTAATTTTATACTTCTTTTATTCATTTTTATTTAAATTCTTGCACAAATTTGCTTTTTGTATTTCAAAACAAAATACTGTGGCCCAATTCCAAATACAAATTAATTGTTAAATTTGTCCCAATTTCTAAATAATAAAGTTTTTCTTTATTAAGGAAAATTAAATCAGAATTCATAATGAACATGTAAGTTTGTTTGTGTTGGGATATTGAACACTTAAAGTGCACAGTTTATTGATAAGGTTTCACCACCACCTTTTACTCCCAAAGGAAGACCCTGAATTGTTACACAGACCTCAAAGTTCTCATCCCAGCCCCACCTAGCCACAACCAGGACAGTGTGGGTCAGATAGTGCGAGAAGATGTGTAAGATGTGGGTATATCTGCAGAATGGTCTTCAGAGGATTCCCAGGTTTGAGTCCTTGTCAGGCTGCACATTTTTCTTAGCCTGTGACATGATTGTGTGCCTAATAAAATCCCTGGGATATGATCATCCAAAAGTCAAAGTCCCCACTATACGTCCCCACTATACTGATCTCTATAGGGTCATGTGGGGATAAGGATTAAAATTCACAGGTTAATTAGTCTCAGTTTGTCTATAAAGCCACTATAGTATGATACTATAATTACGTGTATTTTTTACCTAAATTGCTATTTATGAACTGTCCATCACAAAAATTGTTGGCTTTGAAATATGATTCATGGTGTTATCCTTGTCTGTATCAGTGACAATCATAAACAATATCTAAAATTCAGTAACAAACAGATAAATATAAATTATATGAGCCACGTCACGACAAAACCAACATACTGGGTTTGCGACCAGCATGGATCCAGACCAGCCTGCGCATCCGCGCAGCCTGATCAGGATCCATGCTGTTTGCTTACCAACCTTATTAAGTAGAGAAACTGATAACAAACAGCATGGATCCTGATCAGACTGCATGGATGCGCAGGCTGGTCTGGATCCATGCTGGTCGCAAACACATTATGTTGATTTTGTTGTGACGCGGCACAAATTATACAGTCTTAACCCATTACTTCATGAGCATTTTGTGAAAAATGGCTGTTTTCATTGAAAAGTCTCCCGTTACAAGTTCAAATTGCTATAATACTATAAAAACTGCTTCAACACTAATCAAACTTGGCACAAATGTTGACTGGACCATTGCACTTGCAACAACATGCTCAGGCTTAAATTTTCTGTTACCATGGCAACGAGGGGACATCTCAAAATTGCCAAAAATCACTATTTTGCGTTGATTTTTTCCATCAAAATTGATTTCAAAGTGCTGCACTTTCTCAATGGATTGAGATAGAGTCAAATGCTTTTCAGCGTTGGTTACACGTTACCTTATGATCAATCTGGGGTCATTTACAGCCTCTCACAAGTCCAAAATTTTTCTTGGCGATGAGGGGGACTCCGCCCCCCTTCAAACCCCCCAAACAGAAGGGGGCACATCCCCCTTCTGGCAACCCCCTGATGTATCTTTTGGTTGGGGGGCCGCGCCGAAAAAGAGGTCACTTTTTTTAACAACATTTCTCAAACAAAAACAAGTGTTGGGGCCTAAATAAGGCATTTTTTCATCATTTGAGACAACAAAAAGGGGGGGGGTGAAAAAAGCGTTAAAAGGCGTGTATATGAGGTAATGGGTTAAGCACTTAAATTTTCAATACGATTCATGCACCTGTATATATATAGTAAATTAGCCATTTTCATTTTTTATTTGATGAACATCAAAGATATACAAACACAATGTTACAAGTGAGAAATTTATTACTTCAGAAATGCAGTTTTACAACAGACCATGTTTTTTTTGTATTAAACTTCCATAAAAAAAATTCAGTCTTTAATTTGTAAAGCTAAGTGATCACTAATGTTATTATTATGAGTAAACATATATTCTAATAAATTGTAATCTAAACTTTATCTTTCCTTGAACGAGTTTTTCTAATGATAAAAGTTTGTTTGTAATTAAAATCTCATTATCATTTAGTAAAAGAGCTAGCAGTTTATTGAACTAAAGAATATCATTATTACACACCTGAAGTTTTCTGTTTTGAATTTAATTTAAGTATTTCCCATAGGTGTTGAGCGTGTTCAGTGATTAGATGCAAAAAATGATACATTATTACACTGCCTGTATACACTTATATAATCATTTCAGTTTTGAATATCTTTTTGAGAAACAAAAGAAATTAAATGGCAATCATATTTAGATATTTAAACAAACTTTACATGAAAAGTTCTTCAATTTATGTATTTAGAAGAGGTATGGGGGATTGTAGAGGGGGTTGGTGTATTGACCAATGTGCCAAATAACTTGTCAAATATTAACTTTTTGGACAACCTTTCAATAAATATACACCTCAACATCTTCTTATAGCATAGAACACAAACCTCAACTTACTGAGTTGTGCAACGTTAATTCACACTAAATAGGATCCCTTTGACCCTTGGCTAGCTGGCAGTCACCTGTTGCTAAATTGGATAAAAATAAAATCCCTGAAAACTATTTTTAGTGCTCGCCAATTTTTTTAAGCCAATCACGGACGAGGATTTTTCAAATTTTCAGGTTACAATAATAGAACAGATTTTATATAAACTGGACGTTTTATATTATAAAACGCAAGTGGGCGGAGCACTAAGCCGGTTAGAGTGCATATTGGATGTTCTTCGTAAATAAGAAAGCTACAGTCGCTTCGCAAGCTCCGCTCCTTTTTAGCTTTCTTATTTAAGAAGAACACCCAATATGCACTCTAACCTATACATAAACATATATAATACTAACATCATTATTTTGATTTAGTGTTTTCTTTGACATTGAAAAAAAAAACGAAAAAAAATAACAATAGTTAATGCCTAACATTTAGATAGGTAAGAAACTGTGTAAAATTACCATAACAATAGATAAAAGTTTCTATACTTAGTCATTATAAATATATTTATGTCATTAATTACATTATTTTTAGATGCCTGTTATGATTCATAATTAATGAGAAGCATCTTTTTATATTGTATAGAGGTTATTACCCCCATATTTTATGTAGGATCACAACACCATGATAAATGGAAACATCTATTTATTATATATACACAAATATATTCTAAGACCTGTAAACATTTTATTTACTTTATATTTCTTCAGAAAAGGAAAAATTAGTGTATTAAAAGTAATAATTGAAAATAAAGAAATTTTATAAAAAAAACAAAAGTTGTGAACAATTGTTTTAATTTGAAGGAATATATAAATAAATTTAATGAAATAAAAATTTGATTTTGTTTTGTCTACTCAACAGACAGAGTAATCTTGACACCCCTATTCCTTAGTACAAATTTCATATGATATAAATATAAAAGTACATGTATGCCGTATAAGATAAATATTTTTAGTATGTTAAAATATACATGTACATGTAGGTCTTTACTTTATTTACTCATTTAAAGTACTGAATACTGCACATGAATTCATGACTCAAAACAAGATATGACAAAGCCTTTATAAGTTTCAAATCTGATTATGTCCATGCATTTATTGAACATAAATGCACTAACACAGCTAGCTGAAGGATTGCCTGTCATAAAACTAGAACTCTTAACAGCTTATTGGACTCGTTATAATTTTATAGATTAAACTATTGAATCACTTTGTCATCATGAATATAAATAGAAAACTCTATATTATTTTATATCGTTTAATGCTCTTTTCTTATTTTCATGCAATTCTTTACATAATTTTATTTAGGAATATTTACTTGCACCAAGTTTTAGTAATAGTGTCACTTAAATACTTATTTGATATAGATTTACCATAGTATAATTTACCTGGCTGTCGTTTTTTATTTTAAAATTTCCCTCCACAAGAATATTTCCGTGCAACGCCTCGTTAGTTTCTTTGTAATGTCTACAGTACGTAAAATAATTAAACTGTAATGCTTGAATAAACAATAATACACACACCTGTATTATACCTGTAACTTCCTGTTTATTATTATCAGACGCAGTGAAGGAATTGTAGCCACCTGATTGGTCAATATTAAATGACACATTATCGAGATGAACTATCGGGAATTTGTTTGTTAACGCGTTTCGTTGTCATAGAAACAGTTGCTGCTGCTAATCAATATACACGATGTATACAAACGTGATAAATGGTGTTAAATGACCATACACACAGACACGTACATACAGTTTAAATACAAAATGCATACGTTGTGTCGCATTCTTTAATTTTAATTTTTATTTAGTGCCAAACACAGGTCTTACACCCGAAGGCCTTTTAGATAGTTTCTGTGCCCACATGGGTCATCGGAAAGTCGCACAGTTTCTTACCGATGCTCAATCTTGACATCCATATGGAGTATACCCACGTGTTAATGTCCACGGCTCTTCTTTTCCTGGGTCGGAGTAACAATAAACAATATATCATACGTATAATAATAATGGAAATTTTATCTATATATATATTACTTATTTCATTTAAGTTATGTTATTTTCTGACGCTTTAAGTCGGGATGTAGGTTTGGACTATATAACTTGCATTAAAAATGCCCACGTAAATGGACCACACAAAATGAGCTAATTAAGATTTGTATTTTATAAGAAATTGTCTATAACAAAATAGAAATTCGATATGCAATTATGCACCCTGTGACAGACAGTTCTGCACATATATCAGCTTTTTAATGGTAAGCTATAGAGAGCATAATTATATTGCATGGTAGATGTCGTTAAGCGCAATCTGAAATTAATCGCGCACACGGCAAAATAATAAAAATAACAACAGTAGGCTTTAGGTCTTTAATTTTCTGCTTGCAGGCAAAACGGCCAAATTAAAATTACCTTTTTCAGCATAAATTGCTTTTACTTTAATACCATTAGCTTTTGATAACGTATATAAAGTTTGATAAGTTTATTTCAATATTCCATTGGACCAAATGGTCCATGAGGATAAACAGATACATGATACATGACAAGACAGTGTAAAGCATATACATACAATAACATGTGTAAATGGAGAAGGTATACACAAAATTGTATATCATCAATTAAAATGAACATCATAACAAAAGGACATTCAAATTTACCTAATGTTAAATAAATTACCACTGTCTAGCAAAACTTACAGAGAAGTGAATTTCATACATTGTTTTGAGTTAATTTGATAAGATACATGTATATAATATAATGCATCATATAAATTTATATTCATATTTGCTTGAGTATGTATATGCTGTTCTTGTCGAATCAAAATACAAGAACAAACATAACCATTTGTCGGTAAATGTCTATAATTTAGATATAGAACGTGAATCAATTTAAAAACAAAAATAAATGAATTTTGACAAAAACTCGGATGTATATACTGTATAATATAAAATTATATTTATACTTGTTCGAGTACGTGTATATATACACACGCAATTTGTTTACATTCAAGAGTAAATGCATTAGTTATCAAAGTGACCAGGTTAATTAGTGACAATAATCACACATCTAGTTTTCATGAACTTAGTGAAATTTAGTCTATTTTCACCTCGCTAGATATCTTAAATCGAATTGTCCGTCTTTTAAAATGGACATGAACTGAACAGAGCAGAACTTTTAATTCTTTGGTTTGAAAATAGTACATCATCATATACAACATATAATTTCAGAGTAACAAATTAATACATTTCAGTGCTATCAATCAGGACAATTCACCATTTTAGGGAAATTTGTACCGACTGAATAACGATCGAAAGTGCCGCACTGGTCGAAATGGCGAAATTCAGCGGCCGCCAGCATGGTTCATTAAATTCAATTAACCTCATTAAAGTAACAATTAATTAATATGAGGGAGAGTAAAATAAAAACATGAATTACGCTACAATTAACATTGTATATATATAGCTATCACAAAGAATAAAAAAATCATTTATTTGCATTCATTAAAGCTTTAATTAGATATTAAGTTCTTTTCAGCACCGTCAAGTTTCAAGCACGCCCAAGATTTTGCAAAGACATGTTTCTATTTAATAATCTGTTGAAATCTTTATCATCTGTTTCGATTAGCTTTGCGTATATATGTATACTACTATTGCACATGGTCCTGATTAAACTTTTACAAAAATGTATTGCAATCTTCGATTTTTAAGGGTGATCCCTTGAGATCAAACAGCCATAAGTCATGGAATATGAAAATCTTGCGTATTGCCTTACAGGGACAATTCAAATGAAGTATGAAAATGATAATGGGGAAATGAACTAAGAATTATCTAAAAAAAACAACATTGATATTATTAGCGATTCTTAGCCCTTTTCATTTTTATGTCATTTTGCAAAATAAAAATGTTATTCTGGATAAAAAAAAACGGAGTGAGCAATTTATCTGAAATTTCACACACAAGTAGAAGAAGAAGAAGAAGAAGAAAAAAGAACGTTTATTTATCGCTTAAACAACAAGTTTCTTTTGATAAATATTTACATACATACAAGCATACACATATATTGGCATGGAAAGTACATGCACAATGATATTAAAGTTTGCATGATATATTGAATGGACGGAACTAAATATAAATGGCAAGAATAAAAAGTATGATGGTAAATACGCAGCATAAACCTTTCATTAGTTTGGACCTGTAAGGTATACATAGAATTAGGTTTAATTACATATACATGTACATAATTATGATCTGAACATTAATAATCCGGTATCGTAAGTTGATTTTCAAGCTTCATTTATATATTGGCAAAGCATTTTTTTTGTTTCTTTATTTTTATCCCTTCGTAATAATTAAATAAACTTAAACAAACTTGGTCAAACATATTTGGTATATTTCTATCATAATTTTTATATATATAAATTTTCCTATGCATGACACTTATTAAACACAAAATGGAACTCATCCTCAATTTCATTTGTATTGCAAATTAACCTCTTTCACGCTGAAATACGCAGTTTTATCCAAACTATTCTAAGTCTTCTTAATACATGTGTGTATTTTCTAAATCATGTGTCATTTCAAAACTGTCCTTTACCGATTTATTAAAAAATGATACATCATTAGAATTTATAATATCTTTCCATTCTTTAAAAACAATAATAAAATGATTTTGATTTACGCTTAAAGGGTTTGACCATGTACCTAAACAAACGTATTTTTCCAAGAGACTTCCTAAATTAGCAAACCGGACTTATATCAGATATACATTAACAATTGCAATTTATAATATTACTTAATTACAACTTAATCTTAAACCCAACTTTTACATTTCGGCATATCTGTTTATATACAGCGGATATCTTCCTAGTCCGTACACTGCTTTTTCTAACACTAAGAATAGTTTTACAAAATTTCAAACTTTTTTTTTCACTTACAAAAACCCTTTACTTCACTTGCGTATCTTGAAATAGAACAGAACAGAATAACCTTTTTGGACTTAAGCATAGCTTCTCGTCCACAATAATAATGATTACAATAATGATCAAAACACAAAGTAAGCAGAAAATTGAAATAGAACCAATAAAAGAGTCAAACAACTGTAAGGCTATTTTTGGTTTTGTTTCACACATTTTGTCAAATCTACCTCTAGAATTATTTATGAGCGTCAATTTGATAGGTAGTTGGTTATTCGTAATTAACAGCTGCTAGTTGGTAATGCAAATAATCACTAGCAATGTTCAGAATAAAGGAGGGGACCTAATTGGTTATTCGCGCGAATCTCAACCCTACTAATCCATATATATATATTGTGATGTAAAATGATATATGCTTGTAGATTTGCAAAATGAAATATGTTTAAACTATGGAGGTAGTTGTTAATTCGGATATTGCATGTATTCCTCTGAAAAAAAATAAGTAAGAAACAAATGTTACGGTAATATAACGAGATATGCCTTTTCTATAATATGGTTACATCCCCTTCACAATAAATCGACCAGGGGACTCATTTGGTTATTCGCGTGAATCCCAAGGCAGTTGGTTATTACATGTAATTGTATTTCTCTAAAATAAAAAAAAACAACAACAAAAAAAAACAGAAAATATTTTTTTCAGAATAAAAGTAAAAAATATATGACAAGGTGGATAAATTCTACCATGTAGTTGGGGATTCACACGTATATAACCAACTGAGTCCCCTGGCCGACGTAGGAAGGCGGGATGATAACATTTGGTAGAATTAATCCATCTTGTTAACTGAGTCCCCTGGTTGACATAAGGAGACATGGTGCTTCCACGTTGAAGAACACATCTTTCTTTTTATATATACTAGTATCCGTCATATTTATTCCGGAAATGTTCTCTCTGTTTTGAGGGGAGGAACAAGGTTCGAATAACCAACTGATTTTTTTTTATAGAGAAATACATGTAATGTTCCAATGACCAACTACCTTCTATGCTTTATATATTTACTCACAATGGAATTTAAGAATATTCTAGTATATCAAATTGTGTAAAACAAAAATCGAGCCTTTCATATTGAAAATAAAATCAATTTTACTTTGCTCGGTCTTCCATTAAGCAAATGACATCGCGTCAGATTTTTATTACACTTGTGCATGTAATATCGTTTTCATCAAATGTAGCACTCATGTGCCGTTGTTTAAGAAATAAAATGTTGTTTGTTTGGGTTTTTTTTGGGGTTTTTTTTCCACTGAATAAAACCTTATGTACGTATTTTACTAGTAAGTTTATAGGATATTGTAATACCGAAAACTTTCGTGCATAAAATACTTGGCGTGGACAGGTCAGCACGTCTCTACATTGAACAGTGTATCAAAGGTCGACCTCGCTACGTATACTGTCAAACATACTTTTAACCAAGTTTCTACCTTAATAACAAGCAAAGATATAAATATATATATTTAAATGTTACATTTTCGCGCCAACAGAAACTTAATACTTCGCTGTGCAATGTAGTATTAAATCAGTTAATTCAATTCACTATTGCATCTTAAACATAAATTAAACATTGCAGTATATGTGCATGATACACTTGGTCTAATTTTA